ATGACTTCAATTTTTTAGTTACGTACATTTGTGGGTGTTTAGTAGCAATATCTATATACATATAGTAGTAATGCTCACATTACTGCTTGGCGACAGCAAAAGGTAAGTTGGCAGTATTTCCCTGGGCGAACTCTTTCGCTAGGTGCTCCAATGCTACCACAGAACAATAAATACGTTAGAAGTGCTTAGTTTGCGTGCTACGTGTGCCAACAATTCACGGAGTTCCGTAAACTTGAGCTCAGTCTGACATTTTCGCTTTATAAGTTATGGTCGTGTCAATTATCTTGCGCTAAATCGGGTCGATTGTCGAAAATTGTAGATAAATGCCTTATTCCGCTACTTTAGAGTGCAAAAATAATAGTCTCATTAATAATATTATACATGGTGGTGTATTGTTAGTGTTGTAAAAAACTCAAGTCCAGGAGTATACATTTACTAACTCGACTCAATTTTGCACGGCTCGGTGGCCTAAAATACTCACGAGTCCAAGTCAAGTCGAGCGCGAGTCATCGGAGCGAACTCGAGTCCTAAAAGAACTCGAGTCGTAAAGCTGACTCGAGTTTGAACAAAACTCGACACAAAGCGACTTCCATACTACAAAGTCGCGAGGACGACATGTAGGGTTCCATTTTATTGAAAATGCATTAATGCACACAAGTTAAATAAAAAACAAAAACTCAATATAGTGATTTATAAAAGAAAGAAGATGTAATACTTAATTATATTACAGTAATTATACTACAGCTTAACACACCACACCACAACACCGCTTAGTAGGTACTTACCAGACTCGAGCTCGACTCGTTACTTACTCGTGCACTAATGCCAAACTCGAATCTATTTGGAAACTTGATAGGTTTGTAATATATCGAGCAGTGAGTCCCTATCTTTATGAGTTGCCTCTTGTGAATTGGAGTCGAGTCCTAAACTGTAGACTCCCGGACTCGAGTTTTTTACAACTCTATGTACCGTAAACATTTTTTATTGTTACAAGACACGGAAACTGCAATTAGATCGTTTCTTTTTTGGAGAACTTAGTAAACATCTCCAATTCGTCATCGGTCAGATATTAACCGCTAGACGGCAGCACATTGATTGAAATTTGAATATAACATCAAAACATGGAAATAATAATAATATGAAATGAAATATTTTTTATTCGCAAGCAAACACGGTAACAAAATATATTATATATGTAACTTGCAATAATAAACATTGATGGTATTAAACTTTGAACGATGGAACGACAGGGGTAAAATTTACGTTATATTAATTCAGTCCAGAATTTGTTATTTACTTTTGAATTTGTTTCAAATTTTTAAATTATGAATGTGTGAGTTTCGGCGAATCGTCGCCGTCGCTTAAGTTTTAGTTATTGTTTTTTCTTCCGTGACTGTTACTAAAAAGTTTTGTTTTTAGGTAACTTTGATCACTCTTTCCCTGGTCTCCTCGTATTGTTTAGAGCCCCTACTCTAAACCTCCTGTTGTTGTTGGGAACCCCTGTTCCCAAACTTATTTTGTCTATTGCCCATTGAGATTTTTTTTTTCACCTACTTAAAACCTATTGACAATTAAATAATTGTCAATCTTTAATAGCCAGAACAATTAAATTTTGCCCAACACTAGATTAAACATTCATTCTAAACGAGATTTTTACTACAACCCGCAAGAGTTAACTTGAGACCTGAGCGCAGTAGGTAGTACACAACGGCGCTCAGGTCTCAATTTTTCTCTTACGGGCTACACCTACCAATGAGAATGATTATTGAAACACAACTTTATAGTATTCAGACAGTGTATCTTTTATTCAAAATGAAACAAACATAATCGATTGTAATATAAAAGGATGAATCTGATGCTTTTTAATAAGTTTGTTGATATCAGGTTACAATTTACTCATGAGCGGCTGCTCAAGCAGCTCAAGCTCTGCAAGTCACCACGTTTGGTAACATGCAAACGATTTCTCTTTTTAGTAAGCAGCGTTGTCACAGCACTAAAACCACGTTCACACAAATATGACGATGGGAATGCTTTCAAGAATCGTTGACCGATTGACCACAAACCAGGGTACAATTGCGGGATCGGTTTTTGTAGCCAAAATTCTTGGTAGCCATTTTTGAACTTGATTTTTATTTCCTCGTTCGTTGTCCATTCTATAAGTTCTTCTTCCAGCTGAGGTGATATTGCTGTGTTGACATTTGAAAACGGATCCAACACCCAGTCTGGTATTTCACGTTCAAAATGTCCTGGTATCGTTCGGTAAAGTCAATGTGGAGGTTTTCCAAAGGTTGGCAGTAGGACAACAAGTCGTCGTTACTGCGGGATACTGATAAATTCGAAAAATTGTGAAACTCACGTCTGCCCATATTCTTTTTGTGTAGAAGCAGTTTGGCTGCGAAAGCAGCAACGACATTTTTTGTTTTAATTAAATTTAGTTCATCGCCTTGCAGTTAGATACATGAATCTCTAACTGCAAGGCACAATTTTCGTTGAACAATTTTTACAGGTTTGTCATGTAAGCTATACCATTCTTTGATGTAATGAGCTTGTTGCGCAATTCTGTATCTTTAGTTTCTAAGAATTCTATCACAGAGACAAACAAGTTGTAAAATCGAGTCAGACAATTGCCTCTTGAAAGCCAACGAACTTCAGTATGAAACAACAAACAGTTGAAATCTTCGTCATTAGTAACACATAGCTGATGAAATAATCTATTGTTCAAAGAGCTGTTACGGATTTTATTGACTGCTCTGATGATATATTGCAGGGATTGAAATAGTCGTTCACTTAAATTTATTATATATTATTTACTTACTTTATTTATTTACTTATATTATTTTTAGCAACCAAATATCGTCTATGAATAACGCAATGTATAGCAAGGACATCTGGAATTTTACTTTTTAAATACGCTATGAAGCCTTTATGGCACCCTGTCATAGCCAGAGCGCCATGCGTAGCAACTGATTTAATATTTTTCAAGGGAATCTCTTTCTCATCACAAATTTTTTCCAATGTATTGAATATGGTTTCGCCTTTTGTATCAGTCTTTAAATTTCTAGCAAACAGTAGTTTTTCACATATTTTCTCATCTTTAATAAACCTCACGTAAGACAGCAACAATGCTTCATTAGTTGGTAAAGTGGACTCATCGAGCTAAATTGAGAATTGACTAGTCCTCAGATGGTTGCACAATGATTCTTCAATGTTTTCAGACATTTCATCAATTCATCTCTAGGTCTTGAAAACATTCTTGTCTTTCTTATCTGGATGCATTTTACTCAAATGATCTTGCAGTCTTGAAGGCTTCATTGCTTCATTCAAAAATGTTTTTAGACATAGAAGGTACAAAGGCGACGATGGGCTTGTGGGATTGTCAATGAATCTGAATTTAATATATTCCACACAGTATTGCCGTCTCTTCTTTTTTACTTCCGACATTGTTATGTCTTGAGAAATACGTAAGTAAGTGTTGAACTTAAGTAGGTACTGCTTATCTATTACGCGCGAAACCGCAAATGAATATATATTACGTTGTTTATATAGGATTGCCTAAGCAGCACGCACCGACAGGAATAAGACAAACACGCATAAACTCGTCTATCTCATTCGACGCTCAATCGTCCTCAACAAGTGAACAAGTATTCTATGAACCAGCCGATTGATACAGGAATGCACAAATCGGGTTATTTAGTAACAAAAACTTGTTAATACGAAAATTACCTATCTAGGAATACCAATCACTATTAAAAAGTGAAACTGTGTCTGTTGCCTTTTTATTTGTTTGTTTGTGTCTACTTTCGTTTCGAAACGGAGCGACCGAGTGACGTGATTTTTATTTTATTTATTCAATAAAACAGGACAGATATATGAACTACACGGAGAGAAATATCGAACCGAGATAGTTTCAGCAATCTCTTAATTAATATTAGTTGATGTTCACAAGTCGTAGTCGAGTCGAGAGCTCAGTCGATGTCTAGGGCTCGTATTCTAGAACTCTACTCAATGCTCAAGTCAGGACTTGAGTATGATTAAAAGCACTAGAAATCATACTCAAGTCCTTGCCATTAGGGTCGTATTTCCAGTGCTTGAAATCATACTCAAGTCTGTTCAAGTCCTGACTTGAGCATTGAGTAGAGTTCTGGAATACGACCCCAAGAGTCTTCCTAGATGAAATTACAAATCTCCCCCTAAGCCTCTACACAACGCCCCCATTTTTTTTCTGGGTCTCTTACCCGCCCTGCAGCGCCCATAAGGGGGCGTTATCGCCCACTTTGGGAAAGACTGGTTTAGACTATGTAGTGGAGCTGTTGAAATCATAAACCATTATCAAATTGTAATACGAGCCATTTATATCCAATATCTGGCTTTCTCACAAAAGTTTTATTTTTATGATTTCGAAGGACTCTATGAAAAAGATGTTTTAAAAAATACAGCTTTATTGTTAACGCAATAAGTAAGCACTATTAAATTAGATTACTTTTTTTTACAAATATAACTTATTTGACTAATGACTGAATGACAGTGAAATCCTTATTATTACACAATAAATATGAAAAGGTTAGGCAGTATATAAAACAAACTTAATTTAATACATTATTTACACATACAAATGCTAAGATTCTTTCTTAATGCCCTACTTATGTCTTAATTAAAAGACTAGATATACGTATGTAGTTATTTAAATAACGCTCTCGTGATATTATTACCTTAAGTTATTACTTAATTACGTACATACATACAATTATTAAAAAACAATAATATGTTCCTGTACATGTTGTACCAGTTGGCTTTCTGCCAAAAGGGTGTGTTATATTTAGTCTTTCCGGATAAAAGCTGCGTTTCAACCGCTACTACAACAACACAAAGAAAAATTGGGAAATTGGGGAAAATAGTTCACTTCAGTTGATCGGAATAATGGAAACTACTATTAAAATGTATATATAATATTATAATTTAATATTAATTTCCATTTTTCCGGTCGAACTGAAGTGAACTCCGTCCGTTCTGTCTCCCTTACGGTCTTACTCCGACATATATTATGAGAAATATCTTTATCACTGATTTGATCAGTAAATCCTTTGATAATTAGCCTATTCACTTTTCGTTATCAATTCGTTCAGTCGGCGATGAAATAATAATGTCAGTTGATTGCAATTAATTCGTTTATCCACTTTTTACAGTAACTAGTTTGAAAGTACTGAAAGGGTTGTAACAATAAAAAGGTAAATGTAAAAAAACAGATACAACAGTATAAAACACTCCCTACACTTTAATAAAGGCACTTACTCCTAAATGGGCCGAGAAACTGAATTACAGATATATATATGTACATGTACAAAAGGTGAGATGAAGGTGTAAGGAGGTCACACCGTCACAGTACAAAAGACGGATCAGGTTATAACAGATTTTAAATGTCACGCAAGTTCACAGAGAGCGGTCGCGCTTACGTCTTCACTTTCCAAGTAAGTCACACAAAAAGCCCCTCTTGTCAATGTGCGCTGTTTATAAACATTGCCCATCCATTTCACTCTTTATTTTCACATGGCAAGCCTACCAACGGCCATCATATTATAGGACCACGTCAGATAACTGATTAAACTGAACAGATTTATATAACTCCAGAGCCACCCCTCTCCATCTCACGTTCTCCCCAATTTGAGCCGTCAAACTGACGTGACATTTGTAAACAAAGAAACCGTGATCTAGACTCGTTATTGCGATTCGTAGAAAGTTTAGTAAATAGTTTCTCTAATGATTAGAAAACAACATGTAAAAATATTAGCTAAGATTTGTAGTTTTGTACAGCGCATTACGTAAACAATAAACCGAATACTGTTACAATACGTTTGAAGCGATTACTGGCTCCGACATTTATATAGAATAAATTGGCGTCTATCGCATACATTTAAACAATAACTTGATTTATTAATTTGTAAATGGTTAGAAACATATGACCCAAATACAATTTATGCACACTTAGTCAAAAAGCAAATGAAATTAAATGTGTAGCCCTATCTATAGGCGCTCCAAAGCAAAAGAAAAGCGAGATATGACAACAGAGTAGTGTCTAGTGTCGGAGGCCTGAGATCACAGTCGTATAGCTAAAGACAATCTTGGCCTTTGTAATGAAGATATATAAGTTTCCAGTTGGCGAAATGCTATTTAGCAATCCCATTTCCATTAATTTTCGGCTCATCCATTGGATATCCAATCGTATGCTGTACCACATTTTCTTCGTCCTCTCCAACAGCCAAGCATTTCTCAACAGGTCCTGAGATGCAGTCCAGCCACCCTCTTTGATGCATCAGCTTAACTACTCTTCGTCGGAAGACAACCAGTACTAGGAATACTAACACTCCTTGTAGCGAATTCATTAAGTCTAGTATTTCCCTAAAAAGTAAAAAGTTTGATCACTATTAGAGTATGGTTATGGATAGTAGAAATTAACTGCCTGGTTACATAAGGTCAGGAATCAATGAAAAATATTAAGGGCGACCTATACTCGGCATTAGATGCGTTAACACCACGCATCTAATGCCGAGTATAGGGAAAAAATTATCTTATCTATATATTATATAATATCTGGGAAAAAATTAGCTCGACCTACGAATCAAAGTGACAGCGCTAATCCTACATGTATTTATAACTGCTCTTCTTTTCGTCGATTAGGACTCTGGACGTTAAATGAGAAGATCCCGGTTTCCATTCCCGAACCCGTTTAGAAAACGAAATTTCGCTAATGATTTCGGCGTGGGTGTTCTGGGTATAAAAAATTGCACGATTTAATTCCGCCTACCCCTTTCCATTTAAACTACGCTTACTTTAAAAAGAGCTATTCCAAAAGGTCTCACGTCTGCCATTTTCAACATCTACGTCCACTCCCTATCCGCTCGCCATACAAATGTGAAAGCGAAACGCTTCGTGCGATTCCTAGGAATGTCCACAACATACGGGTGGAACTCCAGACCACGTCTAGTCCCCCGATGATGGAAAGAGGAAGGCGGAATCAAATTATACAATTCCATCGCACACTCTCCGTGACATATCCTGTAGAATATACCGATAAGCAGGCAATGTTACGGCGACGTTCAAGCCTCTGCAGCTTCGCCTCTACTAATTCCCAATCACCCATAACCCGATTGACAAGCATGTCGATTGAATCCCAAGTGGCCAGTTGATATTTAGCAGAGCCACCCCGTAAGTGGCTTGACTTGTGCTTGGTACAGCTGAAGCAACCGTCCCGGTGTGAAGTAACGCCTCATCTTGGAAAGGATCCCAAACTTCCTGGCTACATTTTTGGGCATAAATTCAATGTATCTGCCGAAGTTCAGATTGGACGATAGGTCCATTCCAAGGAGCTGAAGACGGTCGGCTATGGGTATGGATTGGATATATTACGAAACGTCGGAGTCAGGTGAAACGGACTCCGTTTTGTGGAGAATAGACACGCATACGTTTTGGTAGCATTAAATTTGACAAGATTGACATCGCCCCAATCAGAAACTGCCTTAAGTGTCAAATTCAAAGGACTAACTATGGAGTCTCAATAAGACTGGATTTCTTCTCCACTGACCCTTGCATTGGTCAAGTACCTGTCCACAACTGTGCTGTCATCAGCATACTCAAAGGCACCTGGAATTAACATATCATTGATCTGCAGCAGAAAGAGAATTGCGAACAGTTTGGAACCATGAGGAACTCTATCGCCCGATGTTCGGAAGGGTAGCCTTCTAAGACCACTCAAATTAAAGACTAAGTTCACCAACATCACCATCAGTTAGTGGAAAGCCCATAAGAGGGAAGCTTGCTTAAAAGGCTTACGTGCCAGACCCTGCCAAAGCGTTTAGAAATTTCTAAGCACACTTTATAACGCCTGTGTGGTGTGCAAGTTATAAACCTTTCACACTTTTCGCAGCCGATTCGATTCAGTACTCTTTAAAATGGATAAGACTTACTAATCTATGAAGCAATAAGGTCGCAGGACCACAAAGGATTATAAAGTAACGCGTTTAATATTGTGTGGTTTGCAAAACGTCATAAATAATCAATTGATAGAACTAGTTTCAATTACATCAGATAACCAATCTATTCTTGAATCGTCTTAAACCTAAATTAACGCGTGACTTCATTATGGAAAGCGCGCTATTTAAAATAATCTCAGTACAGAGTACTAAAAAAACCGACCTCAAAAGTACGTGGAATTACGTCTATTTGTTAAGTTTTATTGAAATATCCTTAAATTCGTCAGTATACAGGACTTGAGACTGGAGATAATAAAAATCGATTCTCACTACTCAAAGTATATGGAGAGAAAAACGCCTTGAATTGGAGAAATAGCAAAATCAACCATTAAAATAATTGCTCCTTAAGTAAAATTTAGTCGCTACTTATAAAAATGAATCTTCATGCGTGAACAGCCACCCTTAGAGGTGGATGATTTTCTTCAAAATGAAATGGGACCACTATGGAAGTACCTCCTTTCCAAGAAAAAAAGAATCATGAAAATCGGTTCACAAATACCGGAGTTATCGCGTAACACCATAAAAAAACATACAGTCGAATTGAGAACCTCCTCCTTTTTTGAAGTCGGTTAACAAATAACAGGGCTGGGCCAATAATTTTTCCTTAATAACATGAATGTCACAGCTATCTAACCTTCTGTGTTCAAACGTCAGCAGCGGATAAATCGAGTCTTTTGAATGTTTTCTCTTTCTTCTTCAATAAACAAATGCTAATCTGATATCAAAATTAATTATTAAACCTGAACAATGGAGTTAGTGGATAATCTAAAAAATTGCAATAGAAATATTACGTAACAATTGTGTTAGAATTTACAAAGAATACATACCATACTATATGAGACTTGACCATTGTGCCAATCATCTCGAATATCCAAGGCACACCCATAACAAAGAAGAGTCTTAACGTCATTGTAAATCTGAAAAAAATAAAAATTTACTAATATATTAGATAAGAGACTGTAGGCCATCATCTGCCATGGCTTAAAGGTCAACGACATCACACATTTCCAAGGATTGTCAATCGTGTTCAATACAAAGATTTCATAACATTGTTTTTCTACATCGTTATCGAGAGGTATTACTAAACATTCTGAAATGTACGTTGTTTAGAATTTAAAATCAAAGATACATCCTGCCACAAGGATTCGACCCGTCTCTAACCTTGACAAGTACTCACCCTTCAGTTAGGCTTCCACTGCTCTACTTAGCATCGAATAGACCAGCTCAATTATCGGACATTCCTCTTTTTTGTCTGACCTCACCACTGCTCTTTTCTTACCTTTTTTATTACGATGACGACTTTGGTGACCCAAATAGGCACAGTCCTAAGTTCGATTTAGGTTAGGCATAATTTAGAAACGCGTTTTTTAAATTTATTTTAATGAACGGAATCTGGGTAATGCCTCTACAGTTAATTTAGGCTCTCTGGTACTCATAATGCAGAATCAAGAGCCGTTAAACCTAACATCACGATTTAAATTCATTTCTATTTTTAGACTGTTCAAATATTGGAAATGTAAAGATTGATGTGCTCTTGACTGGAAAAGGAATTCCCAGATTTGAAACCAGTTTGTAATATGCGGTAGTTGGACTGTAGGTAATGGTAAATAACATTTGTTATTTACTACTTGTATTTGTTATACTTAAAAACCAAAAGTTTTCTGTGTTACTGTCAACAAGTGATACCATGCATTGGAAAAGAAACTATTTTTTCGGTTTTAAATTTGTTATTCTGAGCAGTGAACCGTGACCGCGTTATTCCGGTAGCGAAAAATACCGCGCGGTATTTGGCGAAACCGGAATACCGCGCCATTTCACTCAGGTAGGCGGTATCTTTTCACGCGATTTTTGTAGTAATCACGAAAACCTAGACCATAGGTTAGCTCTGCACACAGCGTATATGCATACGCGCTGCAGACGTGCTGTTGTCGCCCGTGTGGCTTGCGCATTTTGATAAGAGATAGTTTTAATTTTAGTTTCGATTGTTAATTTCAGTTAGTTTTTGAAATGAAGCAACTAAATGAAATTCCAAGTATAGACTCCAGTGGAGTATATAAACATTTTGCTTGCAACGCGATGTTTACGCGTGTTTGAATCGATTCGATCGACAACAGCGCGTCTGTGGCGCGTACACGCGTAGTTGACGCGCGTTTACGGCACCGTTCATGAAATGCGCGTCGTCGGCGCGTATAAAATATGCCGTGTGCATAGGGCCTTAGAACTCGATTATACTATACAGTCATTAAACATTTATTATTGTTATTATATTTGTATTCAATTTGTACTGTAGTAACTCATATACGTGTGGCGCACTATAAGTTTCCGGAATTAATAAGAAAAAAATATTATAAATGGTCAGAAATTAGATTAGAATTTGTCTGTCTGCTGGTGTGAGAACTTGCATTCTCGTGGTGTAAGATAATATGGCGTTTACGGCTATTTTTACGGAGTTTGTCAATAACTTCCGGCAAACAAATGGTCAAAAAAACAAATCACTATTCACGGTACAACGATTCTCCAAAGCAACAGTAGCCACGTGTCCAGTTTTATTTAAAAAAAAGCAATCATCCTCTTAGAGGCACTTTGCACGCGCGCCACTTTGATTGGTTTCGGCTCATCTCGAAAGACCCATACGCTCGATTGCTGCTTTGTTTTGGGATCGTAACTATAAATCCATGTTTCGTCACATGTTACTATGTCCCACACCAAATTTGATGCTCCTTCGTTGAATCTGGTAAGCATGGCATTCCACCAAGTAACGCGATCCGTTTTTCGAGCCTCAGTCAAATTGTGTGGGATCCACCGCGAGCACAGCTTTGTCACACCCAAATGTTTGTTGTATTGATTGTATTCGACTCATGCCTAACGATGCCCGAATCTCATAGTATGTCACATGCCTGTCTGTTTTGATCACACAGTGCACAGAATCAATGTTTTTGTTGTTCACAGCAGTGGAAGGGCGACCATCACGAAATTCGTCACTGAGATTCGTCTCTGAGCTGTTAAATAACACTTAAAGTCGTAGAAAATCATACTACGAAAATTTTCACGAGTTAAATCCATGGTGATGTAGACAACCACTTTCTAAAATGACGCTACGATGTAAGTGACAGCAAATGAAACAAACTGTATTCTACAGCCAAAGAGTTCCATTTTCAAATGTTGTAATTACTTTTTAAATATTGCCGATGTAAGTGGCCAATTCCGGAAACTTATAATGCTATGGATATCATCCGTGTTTTGTTGAAAGCGAAAGCGCCATTTCGAAAAAAATTCAAGGCAGCTTGTTTAAATATTTACGTCCTTTAAATTTTTATTGAATTAATATTCAATTATTTTTTGTTAAATTACTTCACTACTTTGTTATATTTATTAATACAAAGATCGAACACTCAGAAAAAAAAACTTGGATCCGGCCGGATTCGAACCGACGTCTTCTAGCATACCGTGGCAGACGCTGTACCAACTAAGCCACGGAACGAAATTATTTACGTCCAAGGGCTTATAAACATACTTGAATCTCAACGCTTTTATATGGCTGGAGGAGAATGAGTTTCGCCAAAGCATAAACGACGTGTAGATGAAGATGCCAATGTTGATTAGTATCAATAAAGTCATGACACTGTACATGTACCACCATTGCTGTTTCGTATCTGAAATAATAGATTATTTGTTAACCACATGTGAAATTACGGGCACGTGGGACTCGTCAACTTTATGTCTCAGGATGACGGGCGCAGTGCCGGTGCCCCTCAGGTCTTTGCGATTTAAAGCTCTGAGTGTCACTGCAATTGCTATGGATAGGCGCGCTTACCACCAGGCGGACGTTTTGTTCGTCCCGTCACTTGATATTATAGTAATTGTAACTTTTTTATTTAAAAAAAATCGACCTCAAAAGTTCGTGGAATGACATCTATTTTATTGGGCGGTTTCGCGCCCTTTCCGGAAGTTTACCGGAAAGGGCGCGAAACCGGATCATTCCCTACTTTGCCACCCTTACAGGTGGAATATTTTCTTTAAATTTGAATGGGACCAACCACTGAGGTACCCTCTTTCGAACAACAAGAATCGTCGAAATCAGTTCACAAATTCCAGTCACGTCACAAATGTGTATCATACATTAAAAAAAAATCAGTCCTATTGAGAACGTCCTCCTTTTTTTGAAGTCGATAAAAAAAATATACCTGCTAAATAATTACACAAAAACTACACTTTAAACAAATTAAATAAAAACTAAGAAGCTACTTACTAAAAAACCAGCAGTTGTTTAACCCCAGGCCAGGCTTCAAGTGATTTCCAGGCATGAAATTGATTATAGCCATGATCATGGCTAAAATAGCAGGGCTACCCCAAGAGTAGATTGCGTACCAGATGAATTCTTTCCAACCGTAGTTTAGTACGGAGGGCCGCCTTGAATAAAATTATTGTTTACTATTTACAATTTATATAATAACCTTTGGCAAAAACATGTTTAATAACCTAACCTCAGTACAGAGTACTAAAAAACCCGACCTCTAAAGTCATTCATCCCCTAATTTACCACCCTTTGAGGTCGAATATTTTCTTCAAATTATATATAAATAATAAATGGGACCACTTCTGACGTATCCTCTTTCCAACAAAAAAAGAGTCATCAAAATCGGTTCACATATGACGGAGTTATCGAGTAACATACATACAAAAAAGAATAATTGAGAACCTCCTTCTTTTTTTGAAGTCGGTTAAAAATAGTGGAACTTTGTGTCCTTCACAATTAAATTATTAAATAAGATATTAAGTAACTCGTGGTAGCCTAATTGTGTCAAGGATAGAGTGCCGTTAGTTCAAATCGGGGCTTGCACCTTTAATGTGAGCATTACTGCGTTCCGGTTTTGAAGGGTAAGGGGTGCTTGGTGAAATTACAGGCAACTGGGACTTTTCAACATAAAGTGTGACGGGCGCAGAGGCAGTGCACCTCAGATCTTTGCGATTTAAAGCTCTGGGTGGCACTGCAACTGTTACAGACAGGCGTATCGTTTACAATCAGGCGCACGACTTGTTCGTCTCATGATTTAGCATTATAAAAAAAAGAAAGAACAGCTATTATTATATGTGTGGCGTTCCCATTCCGCATTGGACCCGCGTTGGAGCAACCCAAGCCCTTTCATTGTGAGTGGAGGCCTGTGAGACTATACTAGATTATATAGACTAACTATTATTATTATTAAGGTGTATAAATTACTCACTTCATACTTATCAATATCTGTATGGATATCGAATTTGTCCAAAAGAAACTAGCTATTACAAAAAAATATGCCAGGAACCCTGCAAAAGGTATAAAATTATAATTTGAAAAAAAAAAAAACCGGAAACGTGTTTAGCCATTATAAGAATCGTTAATCAAATACAAACAAGTTGGAAAAATAATAATTTATCGGAATTTATCAATTAGTATTGAGGAACGACTTCGAAATAGTTTAAGTAATTATTTTTTTTAGTTGATTTTGTCTAATTAAATAATTCACAATCTTGTTTTTACCAAACAACGTTTGGATACGTTGGTACCAAATGGTTCAGTTCATTTTTTTGTCTTTCGGTTAAATGCGTTTTGTTTACGACGGCGACGTCAAAACTAAAGCTCTGTTTTTTGATACATGAAATTTTTGTAGAAACAGCGAGGGTAATTTTCAAATTACCTTAAAATTAAATTTTCTCTGTCTATTTCGGTGGCAATTTTCATTATTTAAATATTCTAATGAAAATTGCCACCGAAGTCAAATAAAGAAAGGTAACCTGAATATTACGCGAGAGATAGGCATTATGGCGATCGTCATCGCTACTTAAGTCGAGGAATATCGAAGTTGACATTGTTTCTTGTCTGATCGATAGCTATCAAGACTGGCACTCTAAACTACTGTATAAATGCATACACAGGTATACAGTTTTCACCGTTGTTATCTTGACGGTATAGAAATTAATTTAAAACTAGGTGGTTTACTTCACACTGCCACCCTAAAACGGCTTTTAGTGATTCTTTCTGCGGCAATAGTTAGTATATACGTAAGTATACTCACACTCGTCGTAAGTATACTCAGATACATATTCTTTTTAAACAAAGAAAAAACAAAATGGAGTGGTCGACTTCACATGTAAAGTTGACAAATAAGTAAGTAATGAGTTGAAAAATAGTTTCATTTCCTATACATATGTTAAGTCAAGAATTATGCGCCAAATGACATGATAGTCCACGTAATTTAAAAAATATGCAATTTAGTATGCCCGGATTAAGTAATGCGCTATTATATGAAAACAAAATCGACACGGTCACCGCGATTTCTCGCAAAAACAAATGACATTAGACACAAGCTGACACTATCACAATTTAGTGTATTGTCGAGAACTATTGGCAGGATCATGAACATAACTCGTTTAATACGTTACAAAATTCCTATGAATGAGTTAGTTCCTCAAAAATAAGCCCTACTGTAAGCATTTTTATTGTTTCGATGATAAGAATTGCGCACCAATTATCATCAATTAAATCGTTAGTATATACTTTTCAGTAACTCTCGGCAGGCTTTGAAAACCAGGAAGCCTACCACAACCTCTTAAAACAATGTTACTTTAACCTTACATTGACTTTTCATACCATGACGCGCTTAAAGTAAGCTTATTATAACGTTAAAACTATGATGTTTTATGCTGCCAATGCAGCTTTGTGACTATTCATTCACACAGTTCGTACTATGACGCGACTTTACCATTAAAGTAATATTGTTCTTATGTCAAATTTAGCAATCTTAAACTAGTTACACGGATGCAATGGAAACAATATTATTTTCTTATTTATTGTCTAAATATTGATTTGTAATGATTAAAAGTTGAACTTATTTATTTACATAAATCTCTTCAATATTTTATTTATTACATTATTTTCTTTTTTTAACAGTTAAAATTCTCTGCATGTAAATAACATGAAGTACTTAAACATTATACTACGATACGACGATTCGGAACATCAAAAAAGACAGAGATGGCATTACATAGTTCATATAGCGTTATTTCTTTCCAATTTTTAGTAAGGAATAGACAATATTGGGAAATCATTCGTTCTTTCAATCATTTTAGCAATAATACATTGGATATGATGATACAATGATACACTGGACAGGTTTGTCATGGTACGAATATGAGTAATGTTATAATAAGCTTACTTTAAGCTTACATTGAAGTAAGATTGTTTTTAGGCCTTGTCTTTTTGTGGGTAATAAAATTCCACTCAACTTCGAAGCTTTGGAAGATTTTCTTAAAAAGATAATTTCTGCTAAGAACTATCCCTTGCGCAGGCAACATGCATACAATCGTTAATATACTCTTCAATAACTTTCAGTAGCATCTTAAACACCACACGTTTCGTTGGCAACGAAATCCCATATTCCACTTAAGAGGGAATTTCTCAAAAATAAGTCAGCCGTCCCGCTTTTTATTTTTTCGACGATAAGAATCCCTTTCAGTAAATCTCGGCAGTTTGGAAAACCAATCGTTTTGTGGGTGTATAGATAAAATGTACCATAGACAGTAGACAATATAAGTGACAGGATCTCAAATCTCCAATGCGCTTTATACTAACACAGAGAATATGCGACAATGGAATTGGACTTGTCTGACTGTGTATAAAAATAGGTTTCTGTCTTACCTCTAGTGTATAAAAATAGGTTTCTGTCTTACCTCTGGCAGCGCAGAGATCCATGTCAATATACGGTACAATCTTCATTACAGCTAATATACAAAGTCCCACTCCAAGACTAAAGCAAAAGTTGATGATGCTTTTGCCCAGAAGGTCCCTAAAAAATATAATTATTATTAATTGTATCTACAACACGACATTTATTTTGTTCAACATCATGATGTTTTTCTACCATGATTTGAATATCATAACAAAACATTGTTAGTATTTTCACAAAAATATACTCATTTATTTTTGTGAAAATACTAAAAATTTTTTGTTATTATTGATACAAAGATCGAGCACAAAGAAAAATCCTTTCGATCCGGTTGTACTTGAACCAACAACCTTGCCACACCGTGGCTATCGCTTTCCCAACTAAACTACGGTACGAGTTGCAGTGAAAGAGTCGTCCAGGGAAGTACTGCTGCTGTACCATACCTATTTCTGCTGCCAAGCAGTAATGTTAGAATTACTGTGTTCCGGTTTTGAAGGGTTAAGGGTGCTGGTGAAATTACAGGCACATGGGACTTGGCAACTTATATCTCAGGGTGTCGGACCCAGTGGCAGTGCTTTTCAGATCTTTGCTATTTAAAGCTCTGAGTGGCACTGCAACTGTTATAGTAGCTTACTACCAGGCGCATGACTTGTTCGTCCCGTCACTTGATATTATAAAAAAAGAGCCAGCAGACCTCACGAATATCATTATCCGCCCGATCTTTGTTTTTGGTTTCAATTTTATTTTTACATTACATATGGTTTTACATTACGGCAGTATATAGTCAACTTGTAATATAACATATTAGCCTGTCTCACATATTTTTACAAACATTTGTACAAATGTATCTCCCGGGCCGGGAATCGAACTCGGGACCCCTGCTTGGCGGACCGGTATAGTAACCGTGTGACCACAGGGGCAGTAAATTAGGGAGCCACTACATTTACTTACTCGGAAGCGCGTTCCGCGGAATTCCGTGCACTAGAGAGAAAAAGACGTTGCGCTCGGACCGCCGACGCAAAACGTACGGTCACAGAACACATTATATTCATAAAAGTCATCATCAACAATTTATAAATATGGAACCGATATTAACAATTCCAATCTTATTATTTTTTGTAACGCTCTAAAAATGCTTATTTCGAATAAACAAATAGACAATTTATTTCGAGAAGTGGGTGGGCTGTGAATGCTATATTTAGCTGCTTTACAGTTTTCTCTTTGTGTGGGAATACGATTCAATAATCAAGGTCATGGTCCTGATTAATGTTGCAGAACACTGATGTTGGTTTCTCGGTAATCTTTATTACATGAAATCTTGTTTCTTCGAGATCGGTTTTTAACACCTTGCGTCGTAAACCTAATGCGCGAATAGTTTTAACAATCTAGATTCTTTTCTTATTTGATTTATTAGTATTTAAAGACATGGGTCATATATTTTTAGTTTTGAAAAGTAGTTTTTTTTATAATATCAAGTGACGGGACAAACAAGTTGTGCGCCTGATGTAAGTTACACGCCTGTCCATGTCAGTTGCAGAGCCACTCAGAGCCTTAAATCGCAAAGATCTGAGTGGCCCGTCACCCTGAGGCCTAAGTAGACAAGTCCCATATGCCTGTAATTTCACCAGCACTCTAACTCTTCGAAACCGGAACACAGTAATGCTCACATTAGGTACTGCTTTATTCTTATTTTGACAGTTAGTCTGTTAGTATCGAAATCAATTTTTAGCCATACACATTTTAATAACGACAGACGTATTTGATTATGTATATTTATTTAAATGAAAACCTTTAAAATATGTCTTCTATTTGTATTTCTTATTTTATAATATCAAGTGACTGGACGAACAAGACGTGCGCCTGACGGTAAGCTGCACGCCTGTCCATAACAGTTGCAGAGCCACTCAGAGCTTTAAATCGCAAAGATCTAAGGGGCGTTGCTACTGCGCTTGTCACCCTGAGACATAAGTTGACAAGTCCCATGTGCCTGTAATTTCACCAACACCCTTACCCTTCGAAACCGGAACACAGTAAAGCTGACGTTACTGCTTGACGGCAGAAATAGGTAAGGTGGCAGTACTTCTCTGGACGAACTATTTCACAAGGAGGTCTACTAGTCGCTAGTAGATAAATGCTTTTTCAAGTTGTGTAAAGGAAGGTGCGACTATTCGGCCAAAATGCATGTGGCGAATCGGAAATTTACATTGGGCAACAATACGTGTTTGCGTACATAAACAAGTAAAACTTAATATTACAGTTTTTGTTATCATGAGCGCGGTTACCAGTAATACTCGTCTTTTTGTTTGCAACCTGTATAAAAGACTAAATATTCTTCATCATAACTTACCTAAGCTCCTTAAATAATACATAAATCAATGCAGTAAGAAATAGAAACAGCGACGACACGAACATGCAGTAGCCGAATGTTTCATCTGCTATCACTCCTACGTCTGCCTCGTAGCAGACTACAGCCAATTTACGATAAACACTGTTATTTCTCAATATTGTCGAATTACCCACGCAGTAACTGAAAACAAAAATCTACTTGTAACAGTATAGATTTTAATACTTATGTTGTTTTTCATAACGTAACATTCCTTTCCTGTAAATCCAACGCATCCTGGGCAACAATCGGCGAGTACCTTACGCCAATTGGCAAGTCCTTTCACCACGATAGTAAGCATTGAGTTTACCATCGATAAGAAGAAGAAGGGCATCACTTATGTACGCAGAATCGGCTTGACTTTGTGTCCTCTGTGCATAATAGAGCTAATAATCCCGGTACAGAGTACTAAAAAGACCGACCTCAAAAGTACGTGGAATTACATCTATTTGCCAAGTTTTATTTAAATATCTCCTAGTTCGCCACTATACGGGACTTAACAAAGGAGATAATAAAAATCGGTTCTCACTACTCGAAGTATATTGAGAGTAAAACGCCTTTAATTGGAGAATAGCATAATCAACCATTAAAATAATTACTCCTTACAATAAAATTTAGGCGCTATTTATAAAAATGAATCTTCATGCGTGAACCACCACTCTTAAAGGTGGATGATTTTCTTCAAAATTAAATGGGACCTCTGTGGAGGTACCCTCTTTCCAACAAAAAAACAATCATGAAAACCGGTTCACAAATACCAGAGTTATCGCGTAACATACATACAAAAAAACATACAGTCGAATTGAGAACCTCCTCCTTTTTTTGAAGTCTGTTAAAAAGACATTGCACGTTCCGTTCTTCAACGTGTAGGTTTCATAACGATATTTTCCTTCAGCGAAAAACTCATGGTAAATTTCAAATTAAATTTCGCACATAAATCCCGAAAAATCGGAGGTGCAAGCACGTATTCGAACCCACGGCCTCTGCTTGAGGAGCGGTAGGTCAAACCATTAGACTACCATGGCTTTTTCTTTTAAACGTGTAATCGTTGGGAAATATAGGTATAGTAAGAAAAAGACATACACCGTGTAACAAACCTGTTAATAATGATAATAATTTATGAAGCAAATGAAAATAAGGCCCAACAACCTCTTCTCTCGACTTTACTCATACTAAATACGATTATCGTGGTAAAGTATATGGAAAAATCGGCAGTCGTCACAATGTTGAGCTACCAATTCTGTGTAAAATGTTTAAAAGAAGGGTGAATTTGTTGGCGTGAATTAAAACAAAATATAATTTACAATAAAATTTTCGACATTTCGACAAAATTATTATCTATAAACACTGGATTCCTTGGTGGTTTAACTAAAACAAATGTATTTTTAACCGACTTCAAAAAAAGGAGGAGGTTCTCAATTCGAACAAAAATATGCGGGTACAACAATTCTTATTATGTAGGAAACCATAGATAATAATTTTTGGCATTTAGGCCGAAATACCTGGCCCGGAATGCCTGCTACTGGCTTGCTTTATCTACGTATACACAAGCTACTTACCTAGCAGGCATATAAATTATAAAACAAAAGCCAACTCTCACCTGCCAGCTTCATATTCAACTTCAAAATTCTGTAATCTTATTATAAGCTGGTCATAATCGTCAACACTGAAATCAATATCCTCTGTAGCTTTAATGAACCCTGTGTCATTACAGCCGATGCTCAACGGCGAAGTCACGTTGGCTTCTGGTTCCCAGCAGAATGTTTTGGATCTCTTGTGAATTAGAATCATTTGACCTGGCGGACAACATTGTCCGCTCGAATCATTGCCATATACAACGGTAACAATAAATGCTAATATGGTAATTGCTGTTAATTTCACCATACATTCCATCTTGATTGAACCTGTTCTCTTATTTGGCACTTTGCACTAATTCACTTAACACTTCAGAGTGTACATAATTGTTCTTTCACCGGGTATATGTATTCGTTCTTGTCAATTCTCGACATCGATTTTCTACGATTGAATTGAAATATCCTCTGATTTAGTACTTTCTCCTTACAATAGTCAGACCACTTTCATTACACGGTCAACTCTGAAAAAATATATTTTTTTAATTACGTACGTATTGGCTTCTTACGTTCAAACAACGTTTCGGGATTAAAAAAAAATAGTTTCATTTCCATTACGTAGGCATTTGTTTTCTCGTGTTCCACTGTTACATGTCGCCGCACTTGAAATTCAGTTACGATAGTACAAAATCACTCTGTCTACCATCAAGACATGTGCCCAGATGCAGAGTTAGACGATAAATCAATATGAAAATATTATTTTTCGGTGCGCAAAATATTTGTCACCACATTTTGTGAATAGATTACGTAATAAGAGTGCCATTTTTATGATAATTGAATTAGACAATATGAATACGCGTATTGTGTATTTTAAAAAATTGGCCTCACTAAGAATAATTATTTTTTTGTATATTTTATATTTTATTTTATTGGACAATAATTTGATTATTCTATTAACTTTGCGTTCTTTTACTTTATCCTTTAATTTTTTATTCGTTTACAAAATTCACTTGCACCGTTTCAATTAGTTCGCATTTACTATTGATTAGTTAACCTGGCCGCATCGATTAGTTTAAAAAACTTTAATGACGACATAAATAAACTTATTTATTTAATTTTTGTTTTTGTATTTAAACTTTTCGACTTCGATTATCGTATTCTTATGTGAAAATTGTTCTTCAAAATTTATACACCTCTATACCACGTCCTATAACCATTTCTCGCGTATTTTTATTAAATGTGTTATGTCAATTCGAGTAAACACATAACACAGCCGTTATTTATTCTTCAGTACACGGGGTGACTTGACGCCACCATATCGCTCTATGATCAAATTGAAACTAAACACTACACTCGAAATTCTGTAACTTATTATCTGCAAGGTTGCACAGATCATAGAGAACCAGTTCTCTAACATTGAAGTAATGAAAGACGTCTTCTTGAGAGACATCTTCTCTGCACTAGAGTGTTATGTATTTAACAATACTAACTGTCAATGTGTTTTTCTACGGAAGAAAAAAATGGAAGTGCCTTAAGGCTCGATTATTATCAGAACCGCCATCGCCTAAAAACTCACACATTCATAATTTGAAACTCTATGAAATCTTGATGTTTGGTTGTAACTTCTAATTGAAAAAGAAGTAACAATTCCTGAACTGTTTGTATAATTTAAACTTTGGCATGTTTTAAACTTTGCCAATTAAGACCTATTATTGCAAGGTTTGATTTTATATTGAAATTTCAATCAATCTGCTGCCATCTAGCAGTCAATATATGAACAACGACGCATTCGAGATGTTTACTTAGTTCTCCAAAAAAGAAGCCCGTACCAAATCTTATTGCAGAGATATCAGGTTTACTTTCTTTTCATATAACAAAAAAAAATATTACGATAAACAGAAAATAGAAATTTATGAAAATTGAACAAAATAAGAATGATATGAAATACCACATCTATTTTATCAAATTGCATTCCAAAGTAGCAAAATAAGGCTTTTTTATAATTTTTAACATTTAATATTTTTCCTCTATGGTTTTCAAGGTTATGCGCGATATAATTGACACAACTGTAACGTACAAAGCGAAAATGACGGACTGAGCAAGTATGTGGAACTCCGCGTACTGTTGGCACACATGTCGCACTCACTATGCACTTCTACTGTATTTGTTACTCTGTATCTGTTTCGGTCCAGGGGGTCGGTACTCGACCAAATTTAAAAACACATTATGCGAATGAATCTTCATACTTGACATTGCCTTTTGATTTGGTCGAATATTACTTATTTGACTGTAATTGTTTCGGACGGATGTTGGACGGAGTACGAGAGTAGACCCCCTGACTCAAGCGACTCTAAAATCAGCCGACATTGACGTGTTTCCTCGCTTCCGCACTCGAGGCAGACAATCTATGTTTCTTAGGCTCCAGAATACATAAATATGTAATAAGCATTTTATGTACAAAAATAAAATTGTATACCTATGGTTTATAATATATACACCCATACATATTTATCAGCGCCGAAGTAATTTATAGACTTTGACAGGTTTTTTTTGTACTTCAAAAAACCAAGCCCGTCGTCAGCGTTTTAAAATGGACGAACAATGAATACACAATTCTTTTAAAGGCAAGTTCAATAAAGGCGCAAAAACTTTAAAAATTGCGGGACCATTTCCATTGTGTCCTTTCGACGATATGGTTTTGGATAATGGTTTTTTGTTGTGGGGTTCACTGACCTATAAGGTCGGTGGTGGAGTTAATTTGCAATCTTATCTAATTCCTCGCAAGTAATTAAACTGAGTATAACAAAAGTGGATGCTTTTTAACTTAGTTCTATCCTGCTTGTTAACGAATAAATAAACAGAAACGCAAGGCATCATTTAACCGCTTACTTATGTTGGTTTAACAATTATTCTAATCTTAAATAATAAACCTGGAAATTCATCATTAATCCATTTTATGCGTCCCACTGCTGGGAACGGGTCTCCCTTCAGGCAAGGATTTTTAGGCCATAATCCGCCACGTTGGCCCGATGCGGGTTGGGGATTTCACACGCTCTTTCGGAGAGCACTACAAACACAACTACAAAATTATAACAAGCTAGTGGAGTAATTTCACAAAAATAATTGAATATCATGGTGAAACATCATGACATTCGATAAAAACTCAAGGTTGTGTACTGTAACGGGACGTAGTCGTGGGATAGCGTAGCGAGAGGATCATTTCAATGAGAAACGAGGATTATATTCATAAATAAAACTTTACTACGTTTATTCAATTTGACATCTTTGTCCAGAAGTCTATCTTGTCTCTTTGACATCAATCTTCTATTCTGTACACAATTCTAAATGCAAACCTATATTAATTCAACCAGTATTTCTAATACAAATCATACTACCTAGTCTACAGTACCTTCTTCGACGTTCTGGTTTCATCACGATGTTTTCCTTCACCGAAACGCTCATGGTAAATTTCAAATTAAATTTTGCACATGAATTCCGAGAAACTCACGAGTCCAGACACGAACCCACAACCTCTGCTTGTGAGACGGTATATCAAACCATTAGACTACCATGACTTCAATAAATAGTATTTACAAACACAATATTCTACGGGAGTTAGGGAGGGGGGAATTCGTAAGGTCGTTGGTTCATACCGTGACTTAGTTAGCATAGCGTCCAGCACTACAAACACAACTACAAAATTATAATAAGCTAGTGGAGTACTTTCAAAAAAATAATTGAATATCATGGTGAAACATCATGACATTCGATAAAAACTCAAATTAAAATGATCAAAAACTTTGGTTAAGACGACACAAATCACCTTGATCGTCGATTAGTAGTTCTACGTTGAGTTGATAAGAACCTTTGACCTTTAAGGGTCTCCTCCAGCGTGTTTACGCACGAAAGTTCTGATACCTGCGTAACAGGAAAAAACTTTTGAAATTTCTACATCACGACGTGCTGTAATTTATGCATCAATTTTTTTTAATGAAATGTAAGTGCGCATTTGACCTCCATCTCACCAGATGAAAAGTGAAGATGAGGTCGACGATGGAGCATGCCTAAATAATGCCTATTCATTCACAACACCGAAATAATGTCTATTCAGTCTCGCATTGAAAAGGTCCAAGGTATAACGTTCAGGGAACAAGTCTACAGGCAGGGAATTCTACTCCATAGCCGTTCGCCATATAAATATGGAAGCGTAACGCTTCATGCGAATCTTTGGAATATCCACAACATAGGAGTGATACCCAAGCCTACGTCTGGTCCCCCGACGATGGGCAGGGGAAGGCGGAATTAAATCGTGTCATTCCATCGCACACTCTCCGTGATAATTCCTGTAAAATACCGATAAGCAGGCAACTTTACGGCGGTGTTCAAGGCTCTGCAGCTTCGCCTTCACTAATTTGAGTCACCTATAAACCTCTTGGCACGGTTGTTGATTGAATCCAAGGTGGCTAGTTGGTATGTAGCAGAGCCATCCCAAAAGTGGCAGCAGTACTCTATGCACGTCCGGACTTGTGCTTGGTACAGCTGGAGCAACTGTCCCGGCGTAAAGTCATACCTCTCCCTGGAGAGGATGCCAAGCTTCCTTGCTGCATTTTTGGCCATGGATTCAATGTATCTGCCGAAATTCAAATTGGACGACAGGCCCATTCCAAGTAGCTGGAGACGGTCAGCTATCTGTATAAATACATTACGAAAAGTTGGTGTCAGCTCAAGGGGACTCCATTTTGTGGAGAATAGACACACCTGAATTTTGGTAGCGTTAAATTTGACAAGATTGGCATCGCCCCAATCAGAGACTCTCTCAGGCGCACAGTTACGTAGGACTATTGCTAGAGTTCCATCTGGCCCGCTAGCTTTATTCACGTTTAAATTCCGCAGAGTTCTAAGTACCTCTTTTTGGCGTATGCGAACTGTTGCCATAGTGCAGCCAGCCTGAGATAAGGTAGGTGGTAGGTTCCCTGCAGCATCCAGACGCGAACTCTATCCAAAGAGTGAGGCAAAAAGATTCGCCTTGTCTTCTGCAGTATGAGACTGCGTGTCGTCCGGCTTCAGCAGAGGTGGCAAAGATGGGCGACAAAAGTTTGCTTCGACCGCTTTGGCCAGGGACCAAAATGATTTGCTATCTGCTGGATATCAGGCAAGCGTGGCCCCTATGCGGCGCATATGGTCGAACTTGGCCCTACATAACACACTTTTGCACTTTTTGGCGACCTTATTAACATCTTTCTTCACATTCCGAGTACTCGGAGCTTTGCGCAGTCGAGCATCTGCCCAAGCTTGGTACGCGGACTGTTTTTGTGCTTCAGCACAGCTACCGGCAGCATTAAACCATGAACGAGCTTGGGGTCCATTGGGTACATCAGAGTATGGTTTGTAATACTCCATACC